TCTATCTATCTATCTATCTATCTATCTATCTATCTATCTATCTATCTTTTTTCTTGGTCTTCTAAATTCATAATATAAAGGCTGGCTAATATTTTTACCCTTCATATTTATGTGCTTTCATGAAGGTTCAAACTATCTTAAATAGTTTCTCAGCTCTTTTGTGTCATGAGATTTTGTTTTGGTTGTCTAAAATGAAAAAAAATTACTTTTCGATTTGTAGTAAAGTCAACCAAAATGTAGGGAAAGTGACTTTAACGTCACTTTACAGCCAATTTCAAACACTTGAGAGCTTAAGAATTTATATCTGAAGACAACTTTGATTTTTATGGACAAACCTTAGCACGTTTTGGTTCATTATCTTCCTCTAAGTGCCCCAAAATGTCCAAAATATGTGTCCGTTACGTGCACAGAAACATATTCAACTATTCAGGGCGCCGATTCATCCTTGGCAATATAAATTTACCACATGCACCACAGTCAGAGCAACCAGAATATTAATGTGCACGTGGACTAAATGAGACGAGCCGAAACTCAACCCTTCCTTAAAGGGCTGACCGCAGCCATCAGGGCCTCGGCCGGCCTCGGGAGGAGAAGTCTGGAGGTTCAGGCCCGCTCCAAGCCATTCGGGACTCAGCTTTACCTTGCAATGTACATAACAGGACATGTACATGTGACACACTCATCCACGGGCGTCTGTGGGGCTCATCCAGAGCTGGATGAGCTTTGAGCTGTGCGTGGTCAGCCAGCCACCAGGGGGCAGTGAGGAGGCGGACCTATCCCCGGGGTCTCTGCAGGAAGCAGTGCGGCCGTCTGTGGAGGTGGGGGAGTGTGTGTCTGTGTGTGTGTGTGTGTGTGTCTGTGTCTCTGTGTGTGAGTCTGTGTGTATGTGTGTGTGTCTGTGTGTGTGTGTGTGTGTGTGTGTCTGTGTGTGTGTCTGTGTGTGGGTGTGTGTGTGTGTGTGTGTGTGTGTGTGTGTCTGTGTGTGTGTGTGTGTGTGTGTGTGTGTGTGTGTGTGTGTGTGTGT